TCCAGTCACACTAGAAGACATGATTGTTGTGACTCAACTGCTCATTGCTACTCATTCTACAAAATGTACTAGCCAGGCAGCCAACAATGAAATAAATAGCATTATCATCTCATATGGGTCGTTATCATCCACTAAATCATGTCATGATAGCATCAATGACATCATACATGATATATCATGATATCATATCATCCATGATCACATCAAAATGGTTTGAGGGATTATCAGGGCTCGTGTAGCTCCCCAATTTAGTAGTTGGATCATCATGAACCTGACTCCAGCTTGGGATAATAATGGGTACTGTAATTAATAACTAATCATCATGAACCTGGCTCCCAACAGCTTCCGCAGTATCACTATATAGTTGGACGACATAGGGAATGGTTCGGAATGGTCGAGGGCCATGGTCAGTCCACCATCCCCGAACATTCCAACCCGATCAGCACAAGTCAATGAAGTTGTATTCGAGCTATATTCAATGTCAACTTCAACGAGAACAGCCCACGACTGTTGAGCCAATGGGTTTTCCTGGTGAAAATGGGAAGACCTTATTGAACCCCCGGATTTCCGGTTTGGGATCTGATGCCCTGCGGTCGGATCAGCATGGATCGGCTGTATCGGTCCGACCCATTCCACCCGTATGGACCAGTATCCAGTGAGCGACAGCACTGGAAGCACCCAAAGCAGGAGGCGCAGCGGGCACCATTTCGTGGCACGAGCCATGTGACGCTGTGAAGGTCCAACGAGTTGTCCATGGACTTACTAGGGGCTTGTGGCACCGCTACCAGGAGCAAGGACGCTACTAGGAACAACGATCCCAACATGATCCAAAGCTGATCGCCGAACCTGGACATGGAACCAACTGCTTGAGGTCACTATGGTAGAGTAACAACCATTTACCATCGCATTGAAGCGCTTGAGGTTGTTTAAGGTACCCACTTCAATCCATCTCATTTCATTTCACATAGCTGACAGTTGGTTCCCCCTTACCGTCTAATCATGTCTAATCGTGTTATTAGCTACCTGCATCTACCTGCTCCTGTTCAGCTTCGGCCGTTCGGCCTCTAAGCCAAAGCTGAAGCGAAGTCCTCAAGTTGAGTGGCATGACAGGCCATCATGGCTGGTTGCATGGGCCACCTGCCCCAAACAAATCTGTTTTTATCGTAGCAACAAGGCTTTTACCTGGAATCCCTCCAAAATGATATCCAAAATTGTCTCACAAAGTTCAGTAATTTCATTGGCAAGTCATGGCCACCGTCGCCATGGCCACCATCACCACCGGTCGTCCCGTCCCCTGTCCCACCTGTCCCTGGCATGTTCACCACTCCCCAGGCACCAGGCCTGGCGTAGCAAACCGCCACTTCAGCAACCGTTCAATCCATCCCAACATGGAAAAAAAGGTGAGAAAATGAAGATGAACCAACTCTATTCAACTCCAATTTGTTTTATTTCAATGATTTTGTATGAATTGAAAGATTCCTTATGATTGCTCGATTTTGGACGTCTCCGGTCTTTCCTTTGTGCATTCCTGGCATCGCCAGGCCGGATTTATTTCGGCTACCCTCAAGGCTTGCAAAACATGGCTGGAGTACAAAACGCCACCTCCAACCATGTTGGGGTCCAAAGGGTAAATCCTGAGGCACTGCAAGGGTCAGGTCTTCAATTTCGCAAAGGTACTCCTGGTGAACAAAATTTCACCGTCTGAGTTTGATTGATTGTGGCATGATGCAAGGTATATGGTAATACAAATGGTATTTCCAAGCAAATGGGTGCAAACTGCAATGTGTCAATTTCCAACCTCACTTTGCATGTCTTGCTTGACCATGTTTGACCCGTAGAATTTTTCAATGTCCATCCCTAAGTCCCTAAGGCCCTAAGTCAACGCATGAGTGGCTGGCAGCATTCAACTACATGACCAGCTGGCTCAAGTCATTAGGCTGCCAATGGACCCACCAGATTGGTCAAAGCTAGAGCCATCATCATCCATGGGGTCAACAATATGGAGCCATACCCATAAACCATTCTCAACTATTTGCTCCATGCAAATACAGTTATCCAAATGTATCCGAGATATTGAACGTCCCGCCCGCTCAAAATGGCATCCATGGCATCCATCCATATTATATCCATCGCATGCATCCACATCCATGGAATCATATGGCATCTCCATTGCGCTGAGCGTCCACGGGTAGAAAGCCGGCACTGCTCCACCCGGAAGAGCCACACCAGGCATCGTACCGGTCTGCGACGCACGGCGATGCAACGAGGACGCAGCGAGGGTGGGTCACGACCCAGTTGGCTTCAAGGATGTCAGGACTTGACAGTTGATCACTTGGATTTGAACTTTCATTCAAGTTCATTCCCAATGTCATTCACGTTGGCTGTAAGATGTTTTTGCAGCTTGAACTTGCTTCAAGTTGCTTTGACTCGATCATCTCAATCCACGTTGATTCACGTTCAAAGCTTCAACGTTTTCCTTCTGCCACAATCTGACAGCGGAATTTTGCAGAAACGATTTGCAGTACTTTGTGGGCGGAAAACGACTTCATCACTATCATGACATACAATGACTGTAAAGATCTGTCTTTGCCTTTCGATGCCTTTCGATGTCTTTAATTTTGCCGAGTATATTCAACAGGAAGCCCAAGGCTTGGCCAAGGAATCCATTTTCAGGGTCGAATCATCAAGCTGTCAACCGCCCACTCGTCGGACCATGGGAACCTTCGTGGGCAGCGCGCCAGTCGGATCCAACATCCGGCCAGTGAGGAGGTTAGGCAACTGGGCCTGGCAGATCAACGTTCATGCTGACCGTCATGAACATCATGAATTTCATCATGAAATATCATGCAATATCATGATATCATCAACATTAAGGACTCGTCATCTTTCAAAACGCGCATTGTATACAGTCTGGTTCAATCCGATTCATCCCCTATTTAGTTCTCTGTCCAAAGATGTGAACATGCGTGGACCTTCATCAATTGTCATTTTTTCGATATCCACTCTGATTCGTGCCGTCCAAGGATAAATGTCATCCTGACATCCTGATGACATCGGATCCACCTGTGCTTGCTGAGGTTGAGGTGCTCCCTGCAGCGCTTGCTGCAGCAAAAGGGTCCTTGGGCTGACCGGACGAGCCACCAGGAGCCACCGATCGCCAAAAAGTTGAGAACCAACTTAGGATGATAGTGTTCAAAAATAACTGATATGGACTCAATTGGACTCACACAGTCAAGAAGTCGATGACTCGACCTCTTCCAAATTCAACTACAACTCAACTCGTCTACAAATCACTATGGATCCATATCAAATCATACCGGTTGATCCGAATTCTGATGAATTCCCAAATTCGTACACTCATCAAACTCATCAACCTCATCCTAACTATCAAGTTCTTCCAATGTTGCTTCAAGATATCCAAGTTCTATTCCAAGGCAATCCACGCAGCCAGGGCACTGCAAATGTTGTTGGTTCGTCTTCTGATTGAGTTGCTGCAGCAGCTGCTGTTGCTGTTGGCTCAAAGGCTGCATGGACCTGGTCGCAGGTGGTCGCGGACCTGGCCCTGGACATGGGAGGCCTCACTGGGGGACCTGCAACTCAAATGAATCCGCAGTTGTTGATTTGACATTTCACCATGCACCATGGATCATTTACCATGGCTTCACCATCTCGATAGATATTCGTAGATTCAATGTGCTTCAACATGGATCTCACCCTCCTTGCCCTCCTCTTCCCTGAGGTTCCAGCACTTGTTGTCCCAGATTTCCAATTGGCACATGCATCGGCATTTGTTCCAAGCCCTGCAAGATCAGGTATTCAGGGCGGAGCTCAGGGAATTAGTCCGAAGAAACGGCTATATTATACTTTGCAGTCAAGTTCAGTTTTGTTGTACGGGATGACATGGGCAAATAGGAATTGAAGATCGCTTCCCAATCGTTTCATTCTGCACCTAATCATTAAGAAACAGTATATACATCATATACAATACAAATACCTCCATCAAATAAATTCCAACAACATAAAGCATATCGATCATCAGCATCATCATCATCATCATCATCAGCAGCAGCAGCAGCAGCAGCATCTGGTTGGCAAAAAGAAGCAACACAATAAACATAATTACATATATATATATATGTATGTATGTGTGTGTGAATATCTATCATTTTCGGGTTTCTTATCTTAATATATCTTAGTTATATATTCAACAAATATCGGTCAGCTGTTGCGTTCCCACTGTTCAACCGAGCTGGGCACCTCCGTTGAGGCCATTGCTGCAAGCTCCATGGCCTCCTGCAGAGATCTGTCACCCCTCACTGCAGAGATGTCTGTTGTTCGGGGGAAACCAAACTGAATCCTCACTTCACGGGCCTCCAAGAATCATGTGTCCTGGCCCCGACAACCAATGGAAAAACCCACTGAACACTCATCACATGAAAAACCTATGAACACCGTGAATCCCCACGAAGTGTCCAACGCCCTTTATTTAAAAATGAAAACTGGTTGGAAACATCCCACATCATCCCACTTTCCAACTTACCCGAACTTGCCGTCCAAGGCACCAAATGCTCGGCAGGAAGTGACGGTATACTGGACTTCAGCAAAATGAGAATGGCAGCAAGCAGCACGCAGCAAATCGATTGTCCATTGGACTCTTTAAAACTGAGGGACCATATTGTGATTTTTCACTGAGGGTCCGGGTAAAATTGTGCTGACCCGTGGACACTGTTTGTGATCTTACATATTCGTCATGCCCGTGTCGCTCCAAGCTAAGGTCCTCTCCGGTAGACCTTTGCGGAATCTCATCAGTCATTCGGAGGGGCCCCGGTGCCCCCGTGAAAATCGACAGAACGGGCGAACAGCAATCCAACTATCCCACAGAGCCCACTTGCGCCCGAAAACGACTCGAACATTCCATGTCAGTTGCTTCAAGTTGATGCCATGAAGAAAACCAACATGGGAATAAAAAAACTCGCACACATCTATACAGACTGCGCCACCTTGATGCCATTTCCAAAGTCTGCCAACTGCGTAAAAACCTGGTGGAATGTGCTGGGCACAGGCTGACATGGTGTCAGAATCTTGAAGTTTCATGGGGCCTTCAGAACGGTCACTTCAATCCATTCCACCATATTTTACCTGTTGCGTGATAGGACTGTCCTAACGTCTCATAACTCATCTTGATCATTTTGATGTCTCAACTTCGGCACAGGATCATCCTGCCAAAGCTTCCCGTCAAAGTTACCAAAACTAGGATCCACCTGACGAAAACTATGAAACATATCACGTATCCAATAAGAAATCGTCCATCGCAATGAGTTAAAACATGCATAAGTCTGCGAACTGGTCATGGGTCATTAATACAAAAATCTATACATATATACAATTATGTATGTATGTATGTATGTATGTATGTATGTATGATTATGTCTGTATGATTATGTCTGTATGATTATGTATGTATGTATGTATTTGTGTATGTATGTATGTATGTATGTATGTACGTATGTACGTATGTACGTATGTACGTATGTATGTATGTATGTATGTGTGATTATGTATGTGTGATTATGTATGTATGATTATGTCTGTATGATTATGTATGTATATGTATGTGTATATGTATATGTATATGTGAATGAATGAATGAATGAATGAATGAATGAATGTATGTATGCATGCATGGATGTATGTATGTATGTATGCATGCATGCATGGATGTATGATTATGTATGCATGATTATGTCTGTAAGATTATGTATGTATGATTATGTATGTATGTATATGTATATGTATATGTATATGTATATGTATATGTGTATGTGTATGTGTATGTGTATGTCTGTCTGTCTGTCTGTCTGTCTGTCTGTCTGTATGTATGTATGTATGTATGTATGTATGTTTTTTTGCTAGAGGTGCTTGTTTGTCGCAGGCCTTTGGCCGGTGTCTGCTAGGCTGTGCCTCAGGGGTCGTCTCAGGTGGCCTTCGGCAGCTAGAAGAAATCAACAGCAAAGCCAGGCTCTTCTTCTTCAGTCTTGTCTGCATTGAGGCTGGGTGTCATGGCCAAAGCAGACAGACTCTGGGCGAGTTCAGCTTGCTCTTGCTCATCTAGCGCCGTAGGGAAGCTCAGTCTTCTTGGTGTTGGTCTGGAAGCTAAAGCTGCCTCCAAAGCTGCCTCCTTCTGTGAGGTGTCAGAGCTGTGGCTGCTGGACTGGTCTGGTTTCTTTTTGAAGAAGTCACTGATGGGCGGTGAGCCCTTGGCGCCAGCTCCTTTACATGGCTTGTGTAGAGCTTGGGTTGCAATGATGCGGAGGTCACCATGCAAGTTCCAGTGTGTGCCACATTGGGTGCACTTCACCTTTTCCCCAGTCTGCCAAAGTGCATGGCTTGGGTGGCCTGTGTGTGCCTGAGTGTAGGCTTGGTTGACACAGGGGCTCTGGATGAAGGTGTTGAAGGCGGCTTCATTGACTCTCTTGTGGATATTGATGCCACACACCAGGCATTTCAGGTATCCCGTTGTTTCTGCAAGCTGGTGCTGACCCGGGTTCGGGTGTTCCGGTTGTTGATCCAGGAGGCTTTTGATCGGTTGAGATCTGGTTAGCTTCCTGGGGAGAGGCGCTGTTGCTTCTGCAGTAGTGGGACCATCATCAATCAGCATCTGTGGGCAGTCTTCGGTCAGCCGGGCTTCCAGGACTTCTGTCGTGAGACTTTGATGCATCCTGATTCCGCAGCTGCGGCATTGATAGCCGCTTCTTTGATGTGGCTCCCAGTGATGATGATTGCCGTCCCACGGTTTGCGGCAGCGGTTCACCAGCTCCTTTTTGTATTGCTTTGTCTGTTTGCCCTGGTGGTTAGGCGCTTTTTGGTGCACATAGTGCATGTTGTCTGCAAAGATCTTGCTGAGTCTGTTGACTGCATGTTCGTAGATCAGTTTGTGGTTGATCCAGGATCTCTTGCCATTCTTCGTGCTTGGCATCATAGAAGGTTTTTGCCCTTTCCCATGCAGCCAGGGCAGCATCTCTTTGCCTCCTTCTGAGCTGTGGCTCATTTGCTGGTGCATCCGGTGTTCTGGTGTTCTTGCTGATGTAAAGTACCGTGACTCTTTGGAAGTCCTGGGGTGGTACTTCAGCAAGGATGTCCATGTACGGGCTGCGGTGCTTTGGGGAGTGCCAAGCCTCCCATACTGTGGCTAGCTGCACAATGACTTTGACCTGGTCACTGGTGTGGTTGGCGAGTGCAACTAGTCTGCCAGGAGTGCACGGATCTTAGTTTGACTCCTCTTGGCCACTCCAGTGCTGGTATGTCTGGCGCCATGCCTGTTCCAGGGCTTGGATCTGGTCTGTTGGCCAGGCCTGGATGAGGTGGTGGATGGCTTTGATGTGCTGGATCAGGACTTGATCACTGGGATCGATGTAGCGTTTGGCATGTATGTCATATGTGACATCAAGAAGTCCTCCGGTGTGGTGTCCTAGATGTTTTGCCATCCCATTGCGGAGGGCCGCTCTGTACCGTGGAGCCAGGCCTTGACTCTCAACACCCCACAATGCCACCGGTTGAATGCCCCCGCGGTGCAGTCTCAGGCGGACTTTGAGCGCTGGAATCTTCAAGCTGCGCAACTTGACTTTGCGGGCTGTGGCCTTCTTGATGCGTTGTTTCATGACCGGGATTCTTCGTTTTCGGGCCGCCTGGTGATCGATGCCCAGATCCCGCATGACTGGTGCCACCTGGGGTTCGTCGTCCTGCAGCAGAGCTTTGAATTCTTTCTCTGTGGCTTTGTCAGTGGCAACGAATGCTGTCTTCTTGGGTTGACCTGGAGGCCCAGGTGTAAGAGTCTCCCACGCAAGTCCCTGTAGGCAGCAACAGCTTCTTGACTGGCGGTGTCAAAGCCCACATCATCCACCCAACTAGAGAGGTGAATGGTTGGTTGGGTGAGTAAGCTGCCAGGGTTGCAGGGCTGGTGCAAGGACTGCTTTGGCAAGCAGAGGTGCCTGGGGGCAACCTGCCGGCACACCATTGGTGACGGTGAAGAATGGTGTCATTTCTTGTTCAGCCACTATGGCTTTGGGACCATGGTAGACTTGCAGCGCCATCTCAAGCATGAGAGGAGGATAGTTCAGCTTGAGAGCCTCTGCCTGGAGCTGCAGATGGATGGTGTCGTAAAAGGTTGACATGTCCATCAAACAGGTCACTCCGCGTCGTCCATTGGCTCTGTGGACTTCTTGTCTCAACAGCCGTTCCAATGCCACGTACAGCACATGTGCTCCGGGTCGGGCCTTGTCGTGGTTCATGGCTGCTGGAAGTTGCTTCTGCCACTCATAAAGCAGGGGCTTGCGGAGGCGACACCAAACCCTGTACAGCAGAGAGGTCAGTGTGATGGGTCTCTCTTTGGCCGCATTCTTGGGAAGCATGACAACCATGTGCATTTGCTGCTGTGTTGGCAACTGGATTTTCTCTTCCATCTCTTGGTAGAGTTTAAGGAGGGCCTTGACAGCTAGAGGTGGGGCTGTTCGTAACAATTGGGCTGTTACGGCATCTGGTCCACACGCTTTATCAGGCAGGTGTCGAAGAGCCCAGGTCAGCTGGCTGATGGTTAGTGCCTCCAGCTGTTGAACTTGGTCCCGGGCAAGGCCTTGGAGGATAGCCCGTTCTGGTGGTTGGTTGTCCTGGTTGATTTGCCAGAGCTGACCCCAATCTTTGAGTCTTTGGGTCATTCGTTCATCTGGAGGCAAGTTACGGTATGGTCTCTCCCAAGCCAGCTCACTGCTGCGAAGGCTACGGAATAGCCCTTTCAGGCCTTTGGTGTATCCTTGTGTTAGCCATGCTTTGTATTGGAGATGATTCTCATCATTGGCAGCTTGTTGCGCTAGTTGAAGTTGATGGTCAATGGTGTGGCTGACCAGCTCTGCAGCATGGCTGTCTTTGTATCGATGCCAGTGGTGGCAGGTGTCAAGGAATTGGCCCCGGGTCGGAGTGCCAACCCAATGCTTGGAGACATCAGCAGTGGCCTGCATGAAGCCTTTGGTGGATCCTCGTACTTGCTGTGGAGGTTGTTTGAGAGCCAGCTGGAACCTGGCTCTCAGTTGTTCCCAGAAGGCTGGCCGTCCCCTCTTCCACGTAGTGACGGTGGTGCTGGGTGTCAAAGGTTTGTGACATGCCCTGAGGTTGGAGCCGCGGCCTTGAGCAGCCCAAGGGTGTTCCTGCAAGAGGTACTGCTCAGTGCATGAAAGCCAGTCCGCCCATGATTGGGCAGTGTCATTGGCTGGATTTCCATAGAGGTCCAGCTCATAGGCCGTTGACTTAAAATTGTAGGTGGTCCAAGGCCGGAAATCGATGTCCGGTGTGGCTGGCAGCGGTGGGAAATACTGGATCTGTCTGTACTCTTTGGTGGCCTTTCTATGTTGAAGTGGTACGAAAGGAGTGCATGAGGCCGCCAAGGGATGGCCCACTCCGTGGTGAGTGACGTAGTGCTGGCCAGACTGGTGTGGATCAGGGCGTAGTCGATGACATTCCCTGACAGGAGGCTGGTATCTGGCGAAAGCACTTCAACTAGACGACAGGGTGGCCCGAAAGCAAGTAGGCGGAAGAGAACAAATAGAAGGGAAGAAAAGCGAAGTAACAGAAGATGAATGAGCACTAAAGAAATGAAGAGATGATATATGATGATTCAAAACATTAAGATTAAACAAAATGAGATGATGATGAGATGACACAATATATAATATATATATATACATTATGATTATGATACTATTATCACGTTATTACCAAATCTATTAATGTATATTCTGTTGCACTGTACTTCGGAGCCCAAACGGTAGTCCCGGTCGATTCTTTTTTATCCAGCGCCGGTCGAGCTCAAACGCTAGTCCCGGTAGTAAGAGCCGCCGAAGTGTGCGAAATCGCACGTCCCAACCTGGCATCAGGACAACCAATGCTCATACAAATGCAACACTTGAAAAACAAAACAAATTACCCACAGTTCAACTCATGTTGTTTTGTCGGTTATCAGATATAGTTGCACACCCAGTCGGAACAGGAT